GCCGCACTTCAAAAGGGATGTGGCCAGCCTGGAGAGGGTTCAGAAGAGGGCCACCTGCTTGGTGAGAGGGCAGCAGGATAGGCCCTACGAGGAGAGACTTAAGGACCTGAACCTATTCAGCCTCAGCAAGAGGAGGCTGAGGGGGGACCTGGTGGCTGCCTACAAACTCATCAGGGGAGATCAACAGCAAATAGGCAGAGCCCTTTTCTCCCTGGCACCACCTGGGGTGACAAGGAACAATGGTCATAAGCTGATGGAGAAAAGGTTTAGGTTAGAGATCAGCAGGCAATATTTTATAGTTAGGGTGGCCACAATCTGGAACCAACTTCCCAGGGAAGTGGTCCTCGCCCCTACCTTGGGCAAATTCAAGAGGAGGTTGGACAATTACCTGTCTGGGGTCTTGTGAACCCAGCATTCATTCCTGCCTGTGACAGGGGGTCAGGCTAGATGATCTATTCAGGTCCCTCCTGACCCTAGCTACTATGAAACTTAGAAAACTTGATGAGAGAACCAAAATAAATGTTCAAGGTGAAGATAACACATGGGTTACAAAAGGCAGGAGGCTGGCACTTTTCCACAGTGATTGGGAAGAAAGGTAATGGAGAGAGCTTCCAGGGGAGATTAAGAGCTGTTTTAGCCAGATTGAGTTTAAGCTGATGGCAGTACATCCAAAAGGAGATGGCAGACGGACCGAATTTTGGCTGAGAAAGGAGAGGTGTCTGCTGTAGAGAGGTAGACGAACTGTTTAAGCTTCTGTCCTCTCAGCACACTGAAGTTGTATGAACATTCATATCAGATCATTTGTTTATGCTGGTGTTCAGGCTACCCTCAGTTAAAACAATCTGTTCACTCCAATACTGATTTATAGGCATGAGATCTAGGTCACATCATTTAGCTACTTCTCACTTTTTGTCTGCAATCTAGGTTTATATTTCCTTTCTTTTTGATCTAGATAATGCTTCTATGCGTTTGCCAAACAATATTGTAAACATCACATGAAACTATTTGCTAACAAGACATTTCTGTAAGATAGTATTATAATGCCCCTTCAATATAAAATGACTCATCTTTTTTTCTTATATGAAACAAACTTACATAAGAGTTTATGTTACTAAGTAAGACAATAACATATTTTGTGTTTCAAATTTTCCAAAAATAGAAAGATCAAGAGAGAGAACCAAAATACTGGAAGCAAATACAGTGGGGATTGAAGTAAGCTGTGAGATGGCAGACTCCAGGAAAAAGACAGGTGATTCTGGGAGCATAAAGGAAAGGCTACACACATGGAGCGCATCTACACATGTAATTAGTACACATGAATAAACTCTGTAGCTTATTGCTCCCGAGTGCCATTTGAACATGTGCCTGGGAGCACGCAACTCCAGAGCAATTAGCTCCAGAGTTTATTCAAGCACAGCATGTGGAGTCCAGTCAGAGAAGCCCCGACTGGCAGCGGGTCAGCCTGCCATCCCAGGGCTGCTCCAACCAGGCTCAATGTGCTGAGGAGAGGCTGGCTGGAGTACAAGGCTGCTTCAATGCAGGGTTAACTGGCAGGCAGCCCCCGCACTGAAGCACCTTCATGCCCCAGCCAGCTGGTCAGTGTCTACATGTGCACTGTTGTGCATGGAAAAAAAACCCTCTGCAACAGAGTAGTACCTGTATTTACAAGTACTACCCTACAGAGAAGTTTATTAGTTTCATGTGTCCTAGTAAGGGTGCACATGTAGACGCTGAGACATTTACTGCACAGTTAGTCAACTGCACAGTAAATGTCTTATGTAGACACACCCATGAAAGGTCAAAATACAACTCAGATATACACATTTAAGAAGGCAGTTCCAAAGCCTGGCAGCTACATAAATGAGGTGTAAACTTATTCAGGATATGTGATGTAGCTTTTTCAATTTCACGTGTCATAATTTTATTGCAGTCTGCATAATTTTTCTTTTATACTCTTCCAAAATATTTTACTAAATATTCAAAACATTAAAAAAATCCCTGAAATGTCTATGAGACCAGTCCTATCAGAACTACTAAGACATTCTGACATGCTACTTTTAGCATAGCCTACAGAAAAAACTACAGAAACCTCACAGCTATCCCCCAAGGTTTTTGCAAAAACAGTTCACTGGTATGAAGTGAGGCTGTACAAGGGAATATTGCTCTCTGGCCTAAAAAACAATCCAGAATTAAGTTATCCTTTCTTACTCCTCTCTCAGGGTCCCCTAGAACTCTAAAAGGGCACTGCCTATATACACAGAATGTGACTTGAAAAGAAAAATTTAAAAATACCTTGATTGTAATAGCCTGCATGTTGCTCATCCTGGTGGTGCCTGAGAGATGCTGTTCCACTGCTTTTCTGGATTCTTTCACAGTTATTAAAATAAGGGTGTAGGATGTGACAATTACCCCACATGGGAGGATAAAGCAGAAGATAAAGACAGCTACTATGTAAGACATTGCCACCACACTGACATTAGCTGAATGCCAGTCAATGCAACAAGCGGTACCATACGGTTCTTCTCCATACTCTCCCCAGTGAGCTAGAGGTGAAAAGGCAAATATTGCTGCATAGGTCCAAGCACAGGTTAACAAGATTCGACCATGGTCTTGCTTGAATCTGTTCCCTGGAAGACAAGAAAGAATTAGTGAAGAACTGTGCATAGCAATATAGTGACTGCTAACCATACAAGCCAAGGTCCAGTGACAGAAGCCCCTTTTAATGTATCGAGGCAAATAAGGGCAATTTCCTATGATGTATGAAGAAGTCCTCTCAAGACTTTATTCTCCTCCCTTGAACCACTATCTACTGATTATGACTCTCCCATCGTCTCTTTGTGATGCTTTGCTGTCTGTATTCACCCATCATCTTTTGACTTTAAAAAAAAAAACTTTGACTGTAAGCTCCTCTGGGGTAGAAACTATATTTTTGTTCCATGCTTGGACTCACCTGGCACAGTGGATCGTTAGTCAATGACTTAGGCTCAAAGATGCTACAATAGTAACCCTGGCTTGCTTTTCCAATGAAAAATTGCCACAAAAATCCATTTAAAATATCTTGTGCTCAACATAACTACAAGCAGGGTGGGTTACACAAGAGACATTTCAGTCTTTTACAGACACCCCCCTGCCAAAGCATGTATTTCCCTAGCTTCTTGCCAGAGAAGATGGAAAGGGAAGGTTTCTTGACAAAAGGGGCAGTGCCAGGAAGTTCAAGGAGACTGAAAACAAACTGGAAACTAAAGAATTATACATAAACAATCCTGTAGAAGGAAATGCCCTTGACATGGAAAAATATAGCTAATATTTCTGATTTCAATCAAAGGGAATTTCTCTTATGCTACTATGAGGCACTAACATGAGGCACTCCTACACTGAAGATATTTTTGCCAACAGTGAAAATATTGTTCATGTAAATCAGAGGCATCAAACATACAGCAGGTTACTTGGTCCACTATCTTTTCCTAAAATTTTTCTTGGGATTCTCAGTATCCTCTGTAAGCGTAACACTAAATAAGAGTTAAAGGTGGCCTCACGCTCCTTAGCTACTGTAAGGGCCTTGTTACATACTGCACTTTGAGCTGCTCAAAGACTGATCAACAGTGTTAGTGCTCGCTTGAGCTCGGAGAAGTCGCACTTTAAACCTAAAAACTTTCTCTAACTGTCCACTCCTGAACAGATGTGACTTGCCACTAGAGGGCTGGTGAACAGGGGCCTGACGAGGAAGTGCAGTTATGAGTAGCCGCTACAGGGCTGGTGAGCCAGGACAGGATTCTGTGGGGGGCGCATACTATGAGGAGGGTTGAGGCAGAGAGCTAATGGGATAGGGTTGGGTAATGAAATGGGAAGTGGAAAGGAAAAGGAATTTGGGGAAGTGTGGTAAGGGAGGAATTGGATTGGCAGTACAGTTCAGAGTGGAAAGCTTGTTCACAGGGAATAAAAGGGCAGGAGAGGGAACACTGCATCCTGGATGCTGGAGGACTGCAACATGGGTGACTCATCTGTGCAAAGTGACTACACATTCATGTAACACAAGCTGAATAATGTGGATCAGAGTTAAACCTGCCCTGGCCTGATGTAACTTTAAGCTGCCTAAAGTGTCCTTAAAACTAGTTTCAGGTGTAAATGTCTGGAAATCCAGGGGTTAGGAGCTCCAGGAACCGCCTAAAAGTAATGTGCAATAGCAGTGTGTGAAACAGCTGTGTTTTGTTTTGGTTTCGGATTCAGCGTTTCAGAGGGACAGTGTTTCATTTCAGTGTTTTACAAGTCTGTGCAAAACAGCAGTGTTTTGTTTCGGATTGGATTCGGCGTTTCAGAGGGACAGTGATTCGTTTCAGTGTTTTGGATCGCTGTCCCGTTTTGTTTAGGCAGAAATTGTTTCAAAACTGGTTTTGAATTTCAACGCTGTTTTGGTGTTTTGGCCATAGGCTATAATGGGGAATCACAAAACTTTCTATAACTTGGTCATTTCTTTTCTGCATTGGATGAAACTAGCATGGATGGTATCCCCTTTCTGAGACCATGAATCCTGCCAGGTTTCAAGGAGATAGGTGCAGGGGTTTCTGGGAAAATGCACCTCAAACTGTTCAAAGCAAAATTCATGATGTGTGACTTGGTGTGTGTGTTAAAGCACAGCAGGATGAAAATTGCAGGGATGGTAGCCCCTGTTCTCACCCTCAACTCCACTGCAACCAGTAAGCCTCAGGCCTCTCAAAGATCTTACAGTCTGGGCTTTCCCCAGCCATGATAGTGCAGTGGCTGGAGGTTATCAGGTGCCTCCTACCCACCTTTCACCAGGGAGGTTCACGGTCCTGGTATTTCCTGGGGCTGCTACACCACTGGAAGTCCCACCCAGGCCTCTCTACCTTGGCAGGGTGAAGTTTTAGGTCATGCCCAGGATGATGTGGATCCTCCTCCTCCCCATATAGCCCCAGCCCTTATACCTCCAAGTTCTTCCTGGCACAGGAGCTCAGCAGGGAGATGTTCTTCCCCTGCTGGCTGATGAGAACTAAACTGTCATCTCCAACTCTGAGGGGGCATTAAATGGCTGCCTTCATTAGCACCTGTCCTGCCACATACATCACCCCTCAGGCGGGCATGAGGCCTGGCAGGTTTCAGGTACAGTGGTGCAGGGGTTTCTGTGAAACTGCACCTCAAACTGCTGAAAGCAAAACTTGTGTCACTTGTATGTATTAAGGGGTGTAGGTTGTAGCCATGTTGGTCTAAGGACATAGCCCAAACAAGGTTTTTAGGATCAATCTGATACCTTTTATTAGAGCAACTGAATAGTTGGAAAAATTGTTCTTTGCAAGCTTTCGAGTTTAAAAACCCTTTGTCAGGCTGCAGAAGCATCTGCAGTTGGCATGTGTGCTCTTCCTGGATGGAAGGAACAGTAAAGAAGCCAGAGGCTGGCATGCAACGCAGGCAAGAAAGTCAGTCAGTGAAAATGTAAATTGAGGTGTCAGGGGTTAGCGAAGTACTGTGTCCAGTTTTGGTTGTCGCACTTCAAGAGGGTTGCGGAGATTCTTGAGGGTTCAGAGGAGGGCCACTCATATGGTCAGAGGCCTGCAGGCAAGGCTCTATGAGGAGACACTGAGGGACCTAGATCTCTTCAGCCTTCACAAGAGAAGGCTCGGAGGTGATCTTATGGCTGTCTATAAATTCATCAAGGAACCTGGGATAACAAGGAATAACGGCTACAAATTGATTGAGAGCCAGTTCAGGCTTGATATCAAGGGGCATTACTTTACAGTTAGGGCTGCCAGGCTCTGGAATGTACTCCCAAGGGAGGTGGTGCTTTCCCCTACCTTGGGGGTCTTCAGGAGTAGGTTGGATAGATAGCTGGCTGGGGTAGTATGATCCCAACACTCGTTCCTGCACAGGGCAGGGGGTCAGACTTGATGATCTACTGAGGTCCCTTCTGACACTAACATCTATGAATCTATGAATCCATCCAGGAGGAGCGCACATAGCAACTGCAGATACTTCCTCAGTCTGATGAAGGGTTTTAAATCCAAAAGCCTATGCCTCGCAGATGGCACCACAGGCAGCTAAGCTCACCTGGAGCCTCACCACTCCACTGCAACAAGCAAGCCTCAGGCCTCTCAAAGATCTTACAGATTTGGGAATTCCCTAGCCAGAACTGGGCATGTATGTGGTGGCTGGAGGTTATAAAGTGCCTCCTACCCACCTTTCACCAGGGAGGTCCTCAGTCCTGGCATTTCTTGGGGGCTGTTGCACCACCGGCAGTCCCACCAGGCCTCCCAATTCTGGCAGGGTGCAGGTTCAGGTAATGCCCAGGACCTGGGGCCATCTCCTTCCCCATAACCCCAGGCTATACCTCCAAATTCATCCTGGAACAGGAGCTCAGCAGAGACATGTTCTTCTCCTGCTGGCTGGTGATGCAGTGAGTGCCGCCTCCAGGTATGAGAGCAGGGCATTAAATGGTTTCAAAAAAATTTTAAAAAGAAACAGGTGCGGATGGAGTGGCACTCACTCCATCTGCATGTGGAGCTCAAGGAACCCCAGCAGCAGGATGTTCACCTTGAGAAACAGTAGCTGCTCCACCAAACTAAGGAGGTGTGCTGGAGTGTCACAACATCCCCAGTGATGCCGAACACCCTCTCACTTGGAACACTGATCAGTGGACATGGTAGGTGTTCCCAGGTAACCATGGCCAGATCCTGCCACATCTGGTGGTGGGTTGCTGAATAGGCCAAGGGGTCGCAGTCTAGTGGCTCCACCTCCATGCTACCTGCCCAAAGCTGGGGTCTGGTGCCTCTGGACCCCACCATTGAAGCCATGCCCTTGGCCCACATTGGTAGCAGCTGTTGTAGAGGAGACTGGCTGCTGTTGGGAGTACTGGCACGGGAAGGTGGATTCCCCTCTTCCACATCCCCCTGCCTGTGCCCTTCTGCCTCGCAGACTCTGTTCACAGCACCTCCGTCCAGTGATCCAGGGTTTTGTTGCCATATACACTCCCCTTTATCCTTGGGTCACACAAGGCTGCCAGCATGTGGACCGTACTGGACCACAATGGATCCAGCCATTTCTTCATGCCCTCCCTCAGCTACTTCACCAGTGCCTGCATATCTGGTGACAGCAGCTCGTACCAGGCAGGAACCTCCAACCCCCATCCTCTGGAACTTCTCCATTTGGTTCTCAAGTTCTCTCACTACAGGAATCACCTGGCTAAGGAGGGCATTGCCAGTGCTGATGGTCTCAGCGGCCTCAAGGAATGGCTTGAGGACCACTAAGATCTGGGAGATGGTATCCCACTCAGCTCTGTTCAGGGGGCCACTGATCCCAATCTCCCTGAGCAAGGCCATCTCATGATGGCCTTCTGTTGCTTCACCAGACTTTCCAGCATCAGATATGTGGAGTTCCACGGAGTCTCCACATCCTGCACGATTTTGTGCTGTGGAACACTCAGCTCTGTCTGTTCATCCTGCAGCATGTTGCCCCCCTTGATGCTCCGGTGGTAGTAGCCCACCACCTTCTTGCATTTCGAAATGAGCTGGCCAGTTGTGACCGTGCCGTCACTAGAAGCCCTGTCCCCCTCCAAGGTGTCCCTGACTATGAAGTGGAACGTGCGTGCCACACAGTGGATGCCAACAAAGTTGGCATC